CGACGACGACAACGACGACGACTGCTGCTGCTAGTTCTCCCTGCACTACTGCAAGATCTATGAGGTTCAGTACCATTGCTATTGTTGCTCCTCCTCCACATCGACGACTAGTACTACGCTTGCCGGGAGTCATGCCGCTTCTGCGTGGTGTTGCAATGGCGCCGGCTGTCCGGGCAAACTTGGTCATCTTGCAGACAGGCGTCTTCGTTCCAGGCCTTACCGGAACCACATTTCCTTCATTGAAATCATCCAGCGTCACGTTGCCGGCGTACCTCAAGTAACTTTTGTGGGACCCAGAACTTCATGCTCATTCTGACAGCCAGGGTATGCAACTACCTCAAAGATGCCTTCACTCTGGCAGACAGCCTAGTATGGATTTGACGTGGTCTTGGCTGAAGACAGCTTCATGTTGTATGGGGTCCTAGAACTCACCCAAAGCCTCAAAGCCTAGAACATAAAGCCAAAACCACTGCCTACTACCATCACTTCGCACATAAGCGGACAACGCTTTCCCAGTAACAGAAGACTTTGGGGCGAAGAGGAGTGGGACTGGTGCAGTTTCCGTCCTAAGATACGGGTTGCAATTTACACGAGCACCCTAGACACACGGAAGCTGTATTTCTTGGTACGACCGCGTCGAGTATATCAACATAAACTCAACATAAACTGTAGGTGCAAAGATACCCACCAATCTCCTCCCTTGCTCAAACGAACCCGGAACCCCATAATTAGTGTGTAAACCTCGGGAGAAAACCCATAGACTTCCAGCTCAATGCTTTGTTGAGCCTCACAACCCGGAACCATGAGCCCTAAACCCCTAAACCCTCCCTAAACCCTAAACCCCTAAACCCTCCTAAACCCTAGGCCCTAAACCCAAAACCGTTCAATCCTTTGCAGATCCGGCTGTATAGGCCCCGAAGGCCGCAAAGCCTCGAGACTCTCACCCGCCGACCCCTAAAACCTAAAGCCGAACATGTGATGGGGTGTACCCATAGGCCCCATGGTAGTTCCTTTTTGGGGTTCATATTTAGAATCCTAAAAGGTAATCCCATAAAGGAACCCTATGGGGCCTATGGGTATTGCATCATAACAGCATCGGGACCGTACGGAAATACTATGAAACTTACACCTATCCCCACACATACAACCCTAAACCCCAAACCCTAAACCCTAAACCCTAAACCCTACCATTTAGCACAAAGCACTGCATCAACTCGCGGAGGCTAAAGGGCCATCCATTGTTGTTATCCCCCACCGAGGTGTAAGCCAGAGGAGGATCCCCTGCAAGCAGGTTTTGGCATTGGGTTTAGGGTTTAGGGTTTAGGGTTTAAGGTTTAGAGTTAGGGTTTAGGGTTTAGGGTTTAGGGTTTAGGGTTTAGCCATCTAATGTCGGGGCCTGAATAATTTGAATAGGGTTTTGGGGGTTCCTTATTCTAATTATAGTGTAAAAGACCCCAAACCCTGTTCTAATTATTCAAGCCTCTATATGGCCCTATATTAGGTTTGGGGACTGGGGGTTTGGCTAAAGGGTTCACGGTACAGGAAGCAGCCCGTCTTCAAAATGGAGAAGTTGGGGCATGGTCTCCGGGCCATGGGAAAGGAGAAGACTTCTGACGAACACGGTTTAGGGTTTAGGGTTTAGGGCCATGGGAAAGGAAAAGACTTCTGACCTTACAAAGGCTACGACTTCGTCTCCTGATTCTGCGGTTGTTGCTGCCATGCAACGTCTACCACTACCACTCCGACAGCGAAGACTGCAACGCTGACGAGGAAGAGTGAGAATAATGACATTCTTGGTGGTATTGTTGCTATTAGTCGCACTGCTCTTCCATTGGTATGACTAGCAGTGCAACCGGAACTGTTGGTTTGTGTGCACTATCATGGTCGCTGCCTGACCACTATCATAGCTAGTGTTGGTGTTGAAGTGACTGTCTTTAGCAATTATCAGTACCGCCGGCTACCTTGGTGAAATAGCGCACGCACACATGTGCATCAGATTGGTATAAGCATGTAAACCACAGACAAGTAACAATAGATGCATAGAGACAGAGGGGCAACAAAGAAAGATAACGACAAACACACACACACACACACAAACAAACAAACAAACAAACAAACAAACAAGCAAACAAACAAACAAACAAACAAGCAAACAAACAAACAACCAACCAAACAAACAAACAACCAAACAAACAAACAACCACAGAAACACACAAACATACATATATATATATATATATATATACATATATACTTATACATATATAGATATATGCATATATATATATATATATGTATTTACACACACATCCATCCATCCATCCATCCCGGCCTATCTTTCTGACTATCAGGCACTCCATGAGATTCCGCCGAATCCCCGTCTGCGAAGCCGAAACGGTGTGGATCAGAAAGAGAGGAAGGTCCTGAAGAGGGCGCGCATGTGCACTTGGACACATGTCTGTGCACACGTCAATCTCCAAACACGTAGCCGAAGATATATAGATCGAGTATATATATATATATATATATGCTAGCTATATGTATATATACATATGTACAACCCACCCATACATACGTACATCCATGGCTTAGGGTTTGGGGTTTCGGCTATGTGATGGTCGTTGTTGTCAACACACTGTCAAGAATCGGCTGCGTCTGTACTTGCCTCCAGCGGCTTCAGTGAACTTAGCCACATCCCCAAACCCTGTTCAAATTATTAAGGCCCCTATATTCTGCACAGGTTCCCTGTAATTCGGGGTCCTACGATTCAGGGTAAGAATTATCAATAGAGCGTCCTCCACTCCGTCCATGAAGTAGTTCTCAAAGCATCTCTTTCCATTCCTGGCTGTTTGGTTTAAGCTTTTTGGCTCAGACTCGGGCCTGTTATGATTTCAAGTGGAGCTGCGCTTCCGCGATACTGTCAACTTCAAGAGCATACAATCCCAAAGGGTCCAATGTACCTACATAGTAGAATGTCGGGTTTCTATATTAGGAGTTACTATTATGATTTAGGGAAGTATCCCCCATAACAGTACATAGGACCCTTCGGGAATGAGCATGGCCACACAGGCTCACACCATAGGTCAAGACCACTGACCGCTCATCCAAACAAAGCGCTCACTCACCACACAAAGTTTGCACTGCTGTCTGTGGGCAAAAACCTCATCGCCATCATCACGGAAACGCTCCATCTCCGGATTCGCAGTCGTTGGGAAATTAACTTCGGCTTCCATCATTCCGAACACGCAGCTTCCTACCGGAAACTGCGCTACCTGAAACGTTTTCTCTTACGCAGCCGTTGGAAAACATGATATGTAGACTTCCGAACAACTTCATATCTAGTCATCTAGTCGTAGTTATTGAGGCCCCTATATCAGGTGATTTCGGGTCCTGGTAAGCCCTGAGTCGCAATCGGTCGAGATCTTTTGAAATGTCCCCTGAAACCAAATGCCCCCCCTCAAACCCAATATAGGGGCTTTAATACTTAGAATAGGGTTTGGGGTATATTATCATATAGTTACACTGAGGGACCCAAAACCCTATTCTAATTGTTAAGGCGCTACATTCGACCCTAAACCCCAAGCCATGCGGGTGTTAGAAGATCGCTCTGGCCAAGGATCACATCGACAGAGTCTGCTTCGGCTCCTGACCCCGGCCGTTTCTCTTACCCTAAGACTTCAAGTATACACATAGGCCCCATAGTAGTTCCTATTTTCAGGATTCATATTTAGAATCCTATAAGGTAATCCCAAAAAGGAACTACTATGGGGCCTATGGGTAGAAATCGTACCGACTTGGGAGTCTAAGGTTTTACATAGTAATGGTTTAGGGTTTAGGGTTTAGGGTTTAGGGTTTAGGGTTTAGGGTTTAGGGTTTAGGGTTTAGGGTTTAGGGTGGTATAAGGGTATAGGGCGCCTACTTATAAGGGTCATGGAGTACCCAG